AGAACAAATGGTATCAGTTAGAAGATGGAAGAATAGTTATTCCAGCATCACTAGCGGTAGAAATTGTCCAAAACTATCATAACGGGACACATTCTGGGAGAGACAGTACAGAAGAATCTCTCAGAAAACATTTCTACATACCAAGATTGTCCAACTTGACTCAGGCCATTGTACGTAGATGTGTAACGTGTGCTAAAAATAATGCAAGACAAGGACCAGTAAAGCCACCAGGAGTCCAGTTTATGGGGGGACTTCCCATGTCCGATTTACAAATTGACTATACAGTGATGCCTAAATCGGGTGGACATCGCTACCTGCTGGTAGTGGTGTGCACCTATTCAGGCTGGGTAGAAGCATGTCCTACTCGTACAGAGAAAGCAGGAGAAGTCGTGAGATTCCTGCTACGAGAAATAATACCCCGATATGGACTACCCTGCTCTATAGGATCGGACAATGGTCCAGCTTTTGTTCATCAGTGCCTACAACAATTGACTCATATGCTTGGTATAAAGTGGAGGCTTCATACGGCATATAGACCCCAGAGTTCTGGTAAGGTAGAGAGAATGAATAGAACTATTAAGAATCAGTTGGCTAAAATGTGTCAGGAAACCCAACTTAAGTGGAACGTTCTCTTGCCCATAGCTCTATTGCGAATCCGTAGTACACCTACCAGAAGGATGGGCCTCTCTCCTTTTGAAATCATGTACGGGCGACCACCTCCCGTGCTTGGTAACTTAAGGGGGGATTTGAGTCAGTTGGGAGAAGGAATTACCCGGCAGCAGGTTGTAGAGTTGGGTAAGACTATGGAGGAGGTACAGAAATGGGTACAAGATAGATTACCTGTGAATATTTATCCCCCAATTCATAGTTACCACCCAGGCGACCAAGTGTGGATTAAAGAGTGGAATAATGTGCCGCTAGGGCCCAAGTGGAGAGGTCCTTATGTTGTTCTTCTGTCTACCCCTACAGCGATAAAAGTAGCCGAAGTGGCTCCGTGGATACATCACTCCAGGGTTAAACCAGCAGCAGCCGATTCCTGGCAAGTTACAGCAAATCCAGAGAATCCCTGCAAGATTCGGTTAAAACGCACGACTCGGAGTGACGAGGAACCTTGTAGATTACAAATTTTATTGTTTCAGAGACTTGGTAAGTGAGTGAGAAGGCCATAATAAAGCCTGTCCACTCACCAACGAGTGTATAAGTCAGGGAAAGTCTTGAGGGGACCCCTGTGAAGACGAGCAGAACTCCATTCCCTGCAGTCCTTACATCCTGGAAGCTGAGGTGCCTTCACACGGACGAAGACTGAGGATGACGACGAAAGATGTATTTTTAATAATGTTTATTTATGTGTATTTTTATATTCAGGAAGGTAGAGGTACCAACACTCCTAGCTGTGAGGTATGCATTAAGACTACAAGAACAGGTAACCATATATCCCAGACCCTAATTTGGCATTCGCAATATGAGTGTAAAGGAGATGTATCAAGATGTAGATACTTAAATATAGAATATAGTGTGTGTCATTTAGGAGTAGGAGAACCTAAGTGCTTCAGTCCTGAGTATCAACCCCGTACAATTTGGTTGACTCTCAGAAATGGAGATTCTCAGGGGACCCTAATTAATAAGACGGTATTAAAATCCGTATATTCTTCAGGTGCTCTGCTATTTGATGCGTGTAAAGCAATATCAAGTGGTAGAAAGCCGTGGAATGTATGTGGGGATCTTAGATGGGAGAGGACGTATGGGTCTAACGATAAATATATTTGTCCCAGTAGTAAAAATAAATATGTAAGTCCAAGATGCCCAAATAGAGATTATAACTTCTGCCCATATTGGTCTTGTGTGGGGTGGGCGACTTGGGGACAGACAGCAGACAAGGACATGATTGTGACTAAGTTGCCTACTGATCCATATTGTAAGTCTATGGAATGCAATCCAATCCATATACTTATAAATAACCCTGACAAGTTCTTAGATAAATATGGTAATTTATTTGGGTTTCAAATATATGGGACGGGTTTAGACCCTGGGACAATATTGTTTATAGGGATAGAGACTGATACGGTAACCTCCCAAACTCATCAAGTATACCATTCCTTTTATGAAGAGATGAGCATAGATAATAAGATCCCCCATAATGCTAAAAACTTGTTCATTGATTTAGCCGAGAGTATTGCCGGTAGTCTTAATGTTACCAACTGCTATGTGTGTGGAGGTACTAACATGGGAGACCAATGGCCTTGGGAAGCAAAGGAGGTAATGTCCGGTTCTGAGGCAGTTGACCAATTAATATCTACACAAGCCGACTATCATATGAGTGTTAGAGGTAAATCTGAGTGGAGATTGAAGACCTCCATCATAGGTTATGTTTGCATAGCGAGGAAAGGAATGATGTATAATACTTCTGTAGGAGAATTAACTTGTCTAGGGCAAAAAGCTTATGATGATGATACAAAGAATACAACTTGGTGGTCGGCTTCAAATGTCTCAGAACCATCTAACCCGTTTGCAAGATATGCCAATTTAAAGGACGTATGGTTTGATCTATCCATCACATCTAACTGGAGAGCCCCAGCGAATTTGTACTGGATCTGTGGTAAGAAGGCCTATTCGGAGTTACCACAGGACTGGGAAGGGGCATGTGTGTTGGGTATGTTAAAACCATCCTTCTTCTTGTTGCCTATTGAAACAGGTGAGACTTTAGGTGTTAAAGTGTATGATGTGAATCATAGGAAGAAAAGGGGACCCATAGAGATAGGTGCCTGGGAAGATAATGAATGGCCTCCCCAGCGTATTATAGATTATTATGGGCCAGCCACGTGGGCAGAGGATGGTACCTTTGGTTATAGAACCCCTATTTATATGCTCAACCGCATTATAAGGTTACAGGCGGTGGTTGAGATCATTACTAACGAGACATCACAAGCGCTCAATCTTCTAGCGAAGCATAATACCAGGATGAGGACAGCAGTTTACCAAAATAGATTAGCCTTGGATTATCTTTTGGCAGTAGAGGGAGGTGTATGTGGGAAGTTTAACCTGAGCAATTGCTGTCTTCAAATAGATGACGAAGGGCAAGCAATAGCTGAGCTTACTAGCCATATGGTTAAACTAGCGCATGTGCCTACTCAGGTATGGAAAGGGTACAATCCAAGTAGTTGGTTTGGTAGCTGGTATGAGTGGTTTGGAGGGCTTAAGGCAGTGGTAGGTGGAGTCCTACTGATTTTAATGTTGTGTCTACTCCTGCCGTGTCTTATACCCTTAGTAGTTAGGTCTGTGCAAAGCCTGATAGAAAATATAGCAGAGAGGAAGGCTGCTGCACAGATAATGGCAATTTATAAATATAAGGCTCTAGATCAGGGAGAACCAATGCAGGAAGACGAGTGTTGAAGATTCACATCATAGGATAAGTCTGGTCTGGTTCAAAGGTAACTTGTGGTGTATGCAAACCAAGGTTAAGTGATGCCTCAAGTAATTGTAAAATATCAAGAGGCATCAAAGGGGGGAATGTGGTGGAATCTCGGTAAAAATAAATTTAGTAGGCCGAGATTACCACGTGGCATGTGTACGTGCATATGCTGACGTATCGATCAGTTGGTTGCACGAGGCAAGATACGATCAGTAGTGTACGGAGCATGTGCAAGAATACAGGATGTAGTATTCCCCTCCTCCATTGTGCTGGACAAGCCATGCGGTCAAGCAGGAAGTTAATTCTTATTTGTAATGATTGGTCAAGAGAATGTGCGGGTGGAGCTTAATATGGGAGGAGTTATGTGCCTATATAGGGAGCCTGCACTATTGTTCAGGGCTCAGAACTTGCTGTATTTTTGGTGACATTAGTCCCTCTGAGTCCCGATCGGTGATCCAATAAAGAATCTCTTCCTTCCTGAAGAAACCTGTGTCCATCCCTCTGTGCTTTGCTTCCGTCAGTTTCTCCGGTATCAATATGTGTTGGTGTAATAAATGACAGAGATGCAAATTGCAGTTGAACACAAACAACAAAAAATGGCTTGTGTCCTTAAAGGACCACTTTATTATTTTCTATTTTCATTGGGGGGACATCTTAAAACAACTAGCAAAACCTGCACCTCCATGGTTTTGTGACTAACATTAATGCAGCTTTATCTATCTTTATTAAAACCAATTCCATGGACTCATCATATCACCAATCCCCCCACAGAGGGAGACACGTGCACACAGAGCAACAAGAATTCACGCATGCGCAGTGTATCTCATCCATCCCCCACAGAGGGAGACACATGCACACCACGAACAGAACAAAGCACGCATGCGCAGTGTATCGCTCGACTGCCGGCACCATGCGCATGCGCGTCGCAGCACAAAGCAACCCTCCCACGGCCAGCGTCATCATCACAGTCGCGCATGCACCTTTGCGCTTGTGCGGGCAGACGTGCAGTGACGTTTCTCCCTGCGCGTTCCGAGAGGCGAGCAGTGAGTGCGTGCGCGCTTGCGTCACGGGTGGGCTGGCTGGCGCTGCGCCTCCCCCTCCATGCTGTGTCTTCCTGTAAAGGTCCCTCCTCGTTTCCCCGCAGAGCAGCCTTCATATGGCCATCCTCAGGGCTTCCCCTCTCCCCCGGCTGGCTTACTGCTCACAGCTGGCCCTTTAAACAGGAGACCCCCCACCCCCCACATTCTGGAGCCCTGTATAGAGAGCCCCCCCATCTCCTGCTGCTGCTCCCCTCTGTGTCTTTGTTTTATTTATTTTTGTTATTTTGTTAAATGGTTTACTTGTTCCTCTTTCCCCTCACTGTCCCGGATGTCTCTCTCATAACCCATTTAAATCCCCCCCTATCCCCCCTCCTCTCTCCTGTAATGTCCCCCCCCTGTAGGGTCTCCTTGTTCTCCATATAGAGAGCAGGGAGCAGGGAGCAGGGAGCAGGGCTGCTGCTGCCTAGTATCAGGATTCACAGCACCCACATCCAGAATTTACCTGGAACTGCCCCCCTACTCTGTAATAGCCACCAGCCTACAGAGTTGTCATGGGACTGAACAATAAACATCTCCATGGCTGGGTCTCATTGCACCACCTTCTGCTGGTCACCCTGCTTGGTGAGTATGAGTTATTATTACTATTATTATTATTATTGTATCAGATATAATGGGGAGGTGAGTGTGAGATATTATTATATCAGATATAATGGGGGGGGTTATTATATCAGATATAATGGGGGGTGAGTGGAGATTATTATATCAGATATAATGGGGTGAGTGTGAGATATTATTATATCATATAAAATGAGTGTAGATATTATTATCAGATATAATGGGGGTGAGTGTGAGATAATATTATATCAGATATAATGGGGGTGAGGTGGAGATATTATTATATCAGATATAATGGGGTGAGTGTGAGATATTATTATATCAGATATATAATGGGGTGAGTGTGAGATTATATCAGATATAATGATATAATGGGGTGAGTGTGAGATATTGTATATCAGATATAATGGGGTGAGTGTGAATATTATATCAGATATAATGGGGGTGAGTGTGAGATATTATTATATCAGATATATGGGAGTGTGAGATATTATTATATCAGATATAATGGGGTGAGTGAGATATTATTATATCAGATATAATGGGGTGTGAGTGTGAGATATTATTATATCAGATATAATGGGGGTGAGTGAGATATTATTATATCAGATATAATGGGGGTGAGTGTGAGATATTATTATTATATCAGATATAATGGGGTGAGTGTGAGATATTATTATATCAGATATAATGGGGGGGGGGTGAGTGTGAGATATTATTATATCAGATATAATGGGGGGGGGGTGAGTGTGAGATATTATTATATCAGATATAATGGGGGGGGTGAGTGTGAGATATTGTATCAGATATAATGGGGGTGAGTGCGAGATAGTATTGTATCACATGTGGTGTTGCTGGATTATTTCCCCCTTTTCTACAGCTGCTATTGTTTTATTAAAACATTTCTCTGTTTCTGTTTTATAATAATTTTGGCTGTTTAGGCAGTCAGATTTTAAATACGCATTTTAATACAATACCACATTTGGATAACTTTGTGTGTGTTTTTATATGTTCTGCTGTTTTGTTGTTATATGTTAACTTTTAGCTTTAAATTTTCCCATTTGTAAAACAAAAAATGGTTTATGCTGTAACTTAGTGACTGAAACAAAGGAATTCATTGTTTTAAATATTGAATTATTTGTGGAAATTTACCTTTGTTTACAGTTGTCATTTAATGAATGGCCCTTATGTTTTGGTTGTTGGCAAACAGCATTCTTGAATATGCAATAACTGCATATTGTGTTTTTGTTTATCCTCTAAAATATACCCTAAATATAGAGGTGATTGAACTGAGCTCCTTTCATTTGAGGTGTCTTTTTAGTTAGCTGTAAAATTAGAACAGTGTCGGATAATTAAGAAAAAAAGTGTGTGTTTTTTAAATATATTAAATTAATATCACAGTGCTGCATGACTATTGTACACTGAAAATATTGATCCTCTTGAGTAACAGTACTCTGACAGGGGTTATTTACTGTTAACTAAACCTGGAATTGTCAGAAATTTCCCACTAAAAATATCACGCCAAAATAGTTGCATAAGAAAAAAATAATGCTAATGGTCTTTTACAGTTGAGCGCTTTTTTTTTTTTTTGGTATAAAGTTTGCAATTCCCTTGTCTATTCATGACAGTTCCCAGTTTAACTATAAGGGGTGTTGAATAAACTCGATGGCTAATTGAGATGGGATCAAAACTTTTAAAGGAACACTATAGTGTTAGGAATGCAAGCCTGTATTCCTAACACTATAGACCTACAGTAGCTGTTTAGGTCCCCAGCCCCTCTCAGATTGCAGTGAAAAGGGGCTTTAACTTACCTTTCCTCACCACCTCCATGGCTGCGATCATCAGTCTTGATAATTGGAACCAATTCAATGCTTTCCCATAGTAATGTTTAAAAAGGCTTTTGCGTGTGCATTGCAAACCGCAGAGTTGCGCCAATCAGCATCTCCTTACAGAGATGCATTGAATTAATGCATATCTATGGGGAGAGTTCAATGTCTTCATGGACTGTATGCAGACACAGAACCTGCCACTAGAGGTGTTACTAGGCAGCAGTATAAACACTACCTTTTCTCTGAAAAGGCAGTGTTTACATTGAAAAGCCTGCAGGGACAGACCATAGACAACAGAACTACATTAAAGGAGCACTATAGGGTCAGGAACACAAACATGTATTCCTGACCCTATAGGCTTAAAGCCATCATGCCTCTCTAAATATAGTAAAATCTTACTTGTATTCAAGTCTGGAGCTGCTTGCTTTGTCCCTGTTTCCTTTAGACCTGCCCATCAGCAGAAATGGTAGCCTGATCCAATCACAATGCTTCCTCATAGGATTGGCTGAGACTGACAAAGAGGCAGATCAGGGGCAGAGCCAGCACAATTCAAACACAGCCCTGGCATCTCCTCATAGAGATGAATTGAATCAATGAATCTCTATGAGGAAAGTTCAGTGTCTGCATGCAGAGGGAGGAGACACGGAATGTTTGGATACATTTTAGGCAGCCATGACCCAGGAAGGATCTCTAACAGCCATCTGAGGAGTGGTCAGTGAAGTTATCACTAGGCTGTAATGTAAACACTGTATTTTCTCTGAAAAGACAGTGTTTACAGCAAAAAGTCTGAAGGTAATGATTCTACTAACCAGAACAAATTCAATAAGCTGTAGTTGTTCTGGTGACTATAGTGTCCCTTTAAGCTGTAGTCCCTTTTAAATAGATCCTATAGTGCTAGGAATACAAAGTTATATTCCTAGCACTATAGCTCCCTCTGACTCCCCTTCTCTCCCCCCACTGTAAGCGTTAAAAATTCCTTGCTGTACTTACCCGGTTCCAGTGCCAATCTCCATCAGAGAGCCCCGACTCTCGGTCACCCATACTAATGCGCATGTGTGGTGAGTACTGCAAGCACGTTAGTATTGCTGCAATACTTTCCTATAGGGTTTTTACTGATGCTGGATGTCCAGTGTCAGGGGAAAAAAGCCGTATAGCAAGTAGGAATTGCCTCTAGTGGCTGTCTGCCACTTGAGGCAGTCTTAATCAAGCAGAAACCGCAATAATTACAATTGCAGGTTTAAGAGGACAGGGAAATTGCACCTAGACCACTTAAATTATTATTATTATTGCCATTTATATAGCGCCAACAGTTTCCGTAGTGCTTTACAATATTATGAGAGGGGGGTATTTAACTATAAATAGGACAATTACAAGAAAACTTACAGGAACAATAGGTTAAAGAAGACCCTGCTCAAACAGGCTCAGTCTGTAGGAGGTAGGCTATAAAACACTAAAGGACAGGAAATATCAATCAAATAAGGTGGGAGTGAAGCAGAGCTGGAGGAGAGAGTAGAGTGCTGCCCTTTAGGAGAGAGCAAGAGACAGGTATGTAAGGTAGAGGTTACTCTAGAAGGCCATAAGCTTTCTTAAACAGATGGGCTTTAAGGCATTTCTTAAAAGATGCAAGACTAGGGGAGAGTCTGATAGTGGTAGGCAGGCTATTCCATAGGAAGGGAGCCGCGCATGAGAAGTCCTGCAAGCGTAAGTTTGCTATACAGTTGCAAACAACGGACAGGAGAAGGTCACGGGCAGAGCGGAGAGACTGAGAAAGTGCATACCTATAGATCTGTGAAGAGATATGAGGGGCTAGAATTGTTCAGTGCTTTATAGGTCTGGGTTAGCACTTTGAATTGACTCCTATAGAATACAGGAAGCCAATGTAAGGACTGACGGAGGGGTGAGGTGTGAGAGGACCGACTAGAGAGGAAAATCAGTCTGGCGGCAGCATTCATTACAGACTGTAGCAGGGCAATACGGCTTTTAGGAGGATCAGGAGAGGGTTACCATAATCTTTTCAGGAAATTACTACCTCAGGGACCCCCTCCCGCCGGGCTGGATGGCGAGGAAAGGGGTTAAACTTTCCTTTTTTTCCAGCGCTGGGCGGGGAGCTCGCCTCCGATCCTCCTCTTTGTCTGAATGCGCATGCGCGGCAGGAGCTGCGCGCGCATTCAGCCAGTCTCATAGGAAAGCATTTACAATGCACGCTTGCGTGTTTTCACTGTGATTTTCTCTTTATGTTTATAAAAAAAAAAAAAAAGGGTTAATCCTAGAGGGACCTGGCACCCAGACCACTTCATTAAGCTGAAGTGGTCTGGGAGCCTAGAGTGGTCTTTTAATATGGAGTAGTGGCCTTTGAATTTAGCTGCAATTAGGTCGTTGGTAACTTTGAAGTGGTCTGGGTGCCTATAGTGTCCCTTTAAGCCAAAATAGTTGAATTCATTAATCAATCTCTCCAGCTCGTCTATTATGGCCCAAATTTGGAATTCAGGTCTCAATTATCGGGAATTATGAGGTGAATAACCATGTCTGGTTATTTTCAGGATTTGAAAGTGAGTTTGGCTATTTTGTCCTGCAAGTTGAATTTCAAACATGGCTGACTTAAAAATTATTTCCAATTTAGCCAATTTCATGTGAAATTTGAAATCCCAGCTGTTCTGAATTTAGTGACTAATTCAGCAATCTATAGTAGACGCAAACATTACCATCACCAAATCACTTGCTACCTACTGTTTTGCAGCACTGTCAAATATAATATATTGTTAAGAAGTCCTATAATATGAAAACTGTACTGATTTTGTAATTCTTTTGGTATCCATGGTAATTGCATCACATTTAGAGGTCTGGCCTTTTTAAAAAAAAATAAAAAATCTTTATTCTTGTGGTGCATATTAATCACATATTCAGCATGAGCCAAATAGCACTGAAACAGTTACGTGGTAACGCATGTTATGTACAAGAATATCAATACACCATTTTTAAATTATTTGTTTTTTAATCAAACATGTAACCAAGGACTAAGGGAATGAATCAACACGTTTACTGACATGAACTGAGCTTATTAACTTTCCTTTTTGAAGCATGTTTGGTACACATTCTAACCCAGGGCTCCTGGCAGAGTCTGATAGTTTTTCAAGGAAAAGTAGGTTTTTCTCACAGTGTTTATGACCATATTAGGGCATTACTACAATCGTAGGCACAGACAAGGCACTGCATGTAAATTAACTGTGTGAGTGTGTATATTTCCTCCATTTTACAGTTGTTGGTTTTTTTTTTTTTTTTTGTTTTTTTTTCAAATCCCTTAAAAATTCTGCAGCTTTTATTCATGGACTTTGTGTGCATTGAAGTTTAGGGAGCAAATAAGTAAACATGATTAAACAATGCTTGTCTACTTAATATAAAACAGTGGTGGTGCACAAGGCTTAGATCCACATATATTATAGAACTGCTACTGGGTATTCACAATGCTTGCGAAGAGAGAATTTCCCAGTTATTCTATTTATTATTCATAATTTGTTACTGGTTAAACATGTAGTACTGAATAAGTGGGTTTTATTTTGTAGAAGGATCCTCATGTTCCATGTATTTTTTTTTTTTTTTTTTAAATGTAAATTCTTTATTTTTGTTGCGCAGGAGAGTACATAAACGGTGATATACGCCACAACAGCGTTCCATTTATTTATTTATTTTGTTTGTGTAGATATACTCTGTATGAGTAAGACTTGCAATCTATAGTTAGAAGACAAAGAAGGGACTACTTTGTTTCATGATTAAAGCTTGTGGTTGACAAAAGGAGGAACTCTACTTATGTCCAATCCGTGAAGCCATCACAAATGACAGCTTTGGGATTCAGTCATTGTCTGTGTGGGATCCTCCAGAGACCTCAGTTTTTTTTACTCTCGTGCATGTACGAGAGTACAACACTGACATGTCTCCTGGCAGCTGAAGAGACCTGGAGCGTTTGCAAAGGACAGCAGGAAGTAAATGAAACTCCTCTTTCCTCCACCATGCAGCCACCTGAGCCATACCGGATGTCTGTTTCAAGGGTCTTTGCAAAATATGCAAATGCATATATTGACTGTTTTAAACAGCATTTTAGAAAGAGACGTGTTTGTCACTCTCTTTATCGCAAATAATTGCTGAATAATTTGGGAATCTGCATGACTGGTTAGAGTTACAAACTGTCACATTCCTGCCGTAAAATGGAATAATTTTTATATTTATTTTTTTAAATGGTTACTCCAGGCGCCATGACCATTTCAGTGATTTGTTGTGGACATGGTGCCTGTAGTCCGTGCAGCGTTTTACTTTGAAACACTGTACGTACAGAGTTTAACCCCTTTGGTGCCTGAGGTGTAACTCCACCAGTAGAGTTCTGGGCTGGCTAATGTCAAGTCTGTGCAAATTTGGATCCAAAGAATCTAAATAATTGGCTAAAAGAGGTCAGTTGACAATTTTAGCCAATGAATGAGCAGCAGGCTCAGCATCCGGCAGCTTTGCAGAAGCTAGATGTCGTAAACCTTGCACACAGAGGACCTGTGTCTGGCAGGTGCAGGTAAGAGGGCATTTTAAAATGGACATGCTCATGCAAAGCGTGAGGATGTCCAACGTTGTTTCCCGGAGTTAAATGTTAAAGTGTAACTACCACAATATTGAGCATCAGACAAAGGGAGAGAATTGCATGGATTTAAAAAATAATTTAAATGTGTGACAGAGAACAGAAGGAGGTCAACCAAAGACTCTTTGCACCATAATCACTACAAGGATTTATAGTGTTTTTGTTGAAAGGAACATTTCCTTCTCGTTTAAGGAACACTGGGTTGTACATTCCTTATATGCTTTAAAGTAAACTTTCACAAACGTCACATTGCAGGGGTTGAATTTTCCTGGGAAACACTTGAATGGGATCCAACTATTTTTATACTTAACTAATGGATTATTTTTCTTGTAAATAACGTTGATCACTTGGATTTTATCCAGGTACATATATACCTTATCTACACAAGACACAGAAATACATTAATCTCTATTGTTTGCATTCTAAAGAGAGAGATATATTTATATCATATAATTTTTTTATTTTATTTTTTTTTTCATTGGTGGGGGGTGAATGAAGGTCCCCACATAAGGACAACTTCCAATAATATCTTTAGTTGAGCACAATTAAAATGAACCATGGAGTTGGTTTCTCGAAAGGAGAATCCTATAAAATATCATGTTGTCATAAATGTATACAAGCTAATTTATAAGTTCTAATATCAACAGGGATTATTTCCTCCACCTGTGTTTCTTGATGAACACATTGAATATACTGTATTACAGACAGGCCAACTGCTGTCTCTAGAATGTTTGGCAAACTGCAATTCAGACTGGAGGTGGGTAATTCAGTAAAGGGAGAATTGTCTGGAATTCAATGTTTTAATGCAAGGTAGCCAAACTACGGGAAAATGTCAGCTATGCTTCCAGTTTGATTATTTTGGACTTAATTTTGAAATCTCTTTGAATTTCTGACAAGGTAGTGAATAGTCCTATAAATGTTTTAAAACTACAGGTCTATTCTAAAGGCTGGTAAAACATTGTTGGAGATCTACCATTTACACACCCTGCCTTTAATGTATTTTATTTTTAATATAAATGGACGGTGGGGATTACTACATTGAAAATACAGTAATTTAATTGCCCTGCCTTTGAATTAAATCTGCGCATGTATGTGCGTGCATGCGTGCGTACACAGTGGCCTAATAAAAAGCCTGGACCCTCTTTATATGCAGTGCCTGTGATTCCCCAAACTGTGGCATAATATGCCAACCCTCCCCAATCATCAGAAATATTGTTCCTAATATGACTTAAAAATAATGTAAAGAAAACACATTCTGCTTACCAACAGCTGTCAGACTGCATCTGTAGGTTATTTGATTTATTCCGCGTCTGCAGATATAGTTGGGGGCAGAAAGTGCCACTGAAAATAAATGTCAATTAGACAGTAAATATTGGTGTATACATACCATACCGGAAATGTAATTGTCATACAGTAAATATTGGTGTATACATACCATACTGGAAATAAATAGCAATTATAGTCATACAGTAAATATTGGTGTGTATATATAACATACTGAAAATAAATGTAAATTATACAGTAAATATTGGTGTGCACATACCATACTGGAAATAAATGCAAATTATACAGTAAATATTGGTGTGCACATACCATACTGGAAATAAATGTAAATTATACAGTAAATATTGGTGTGTGTGTGTGTGTGTGTGTGTGTATATATATACCATATTGGAAATAAATGTCAATTATAGTCATATAGTAAATATTGGTGTAAAAATGCCAATTATACAGTAAGTATTGGTGTATACATGCCATACTGGAAATAAATGGCAATTATACAGTAAATATTGGTGTATACATGCCATACTGAAAACAAATGCCAGTCATACAGTAAATATTGGTGTATACATACCATAAATGCCAATTATATTATTTAAGAAAATGTAAACGGAAATGTTTTACATTGCCCGAGTAAAGGGAGAGCATCTATATGGCGCAACCACTACATTTTAAAGGGACACTATAGTCACCAGAACAACTACAGCTTAATGTAGTTGTTCTGGTTAGTATAATCATTGCCTTCAGGCAATTTCATGTAAACACTGCCTTTCAGAGAAAATGCAGTGTTTACATTGCCCCGTAGGGACACCTCCAAGTGGCCCCATTCAGATGGCCACTGGATGTGATTCCTGGCTCAGGGCTGCACAGTAGACAGCCCTACCGTTCAGCGTCTCCTCTGCATGGGGACGCTGAATTTTCCTCATAGAGACTCATTGATTCAGTGCATCTCTATGAGGAGGTGCTGATTGGCCAAAACGGCGTTTGGCCCTGCTCCCTTGCCGATTTTAACCAATCCAATGCATTTCCCATGGGAAAGCATTGGATTGGCTAAAATTGGCAATTCTGATGTCACCAATGTGGTGGGGTGAGTTTTTTTTTTTTTTTTGTGTGCTTCTAAGGATGCTGATGTCAGAAACCGTGTTATAACCAAATCCAATCCATGATTTAATAATTAAACTCTGGATCTATATGCCAATATTTCAAGGTTAACAAACAAACCTTTCAGATATTATCCACACGTGTTCTTGATATATTATTGGTTTTGGTTACAGAGGTTATATGCCCTTTAATTGGTGTGGTTGATGAGGAGGAATCTGTTAAAGCAGCTTTGCAAGGTTATTTGGTAAAGAGTTTTTTTTAAATGGATCTTTTTACCAAAAAAAAAAATGTACATCCTTAGTATTTTATGACGATGTACTCTTTATACAATACTTTAAGTTGACCAAACTTGACAAAAGGCAGATCTGCCCCAGTCAGATTTAGTTAATGGTTTGTCGTCCTGAAAGTTTGTGGGTTTTTTTGCAAAGAGGAAGTGGTATTTGCTGCAAAGTAAGCTTGCAGGTTCCCAAACATCCACAATGGAATCTGATGGCGCTATATAAATAATGTAATGCAACTGCATCACACACCACACACTTTAGGCTACACAAGGGGTCCGGAGGTGTAAAAATAAAATAAACATATATATATATACTGACTGTTATATATATATATGTGTATATATATATATTATATATATATGTGTATGTATGTATGTATGTATGTGTGTATATATATATATATATATATATATATATATATATATATATATATATATATACACACATACACACATACACACATACATATGAAACAAGGGGGGGTTGGCTGCACGCACCTAAACATGCATAAATGGGGGTGCTGCTGGGGGCCAAATAATACAAAACACAAGATCCAGCGCACTCACCTATCCACTAAACAGCAACTTCAATGTTGAAAGATTTTTTATTTTATTTTTTAAACACCTAATCTAGGCAAAAATAATGGGGGTTTAGTTACATTATATGATCATACAGTGCAGCCAACCCCCCCTTGTTTCATATATATATTTGGGAGTCTAGCCAACTCCTTGGTTTTGCACCCCTCCCTGTCACAGGTGCCTCATCCCAGGGCCCTATTTAGCCTTGTACTGCAGAGAGCCCCAGATGGAATTTTTTTCCTCAAGTAAGTGGTTAATCTTATAAGAGCAGACATTAGGCTGTTAGTGTAGGACCTGCCAAAGATGGGGTACATTGACGTTGTGGCAGGCTTATGCAATGTATGATCATATAATGTAACTAAACCCCCATTATTTTTGCCTAGATTAGGTGTTTTAAAAAAAAAAAAACCCTAATAAAATCTTTCAACATTGAAGTTGCTGTTTAGTGGATAGGTGAGTGCGCTGGATCTTGTGTATTGTATGTGTGTGTGTGTGTGTATGTATATATATAATTTTTTTTTTTTTTTCTTAAAATAGGACTTATTAACCCGAGGGACACAAACCATAGCCAGCCTTCAAAACATTGCTAAATGAGGCCAGATTGGACACTCAATAACCAGCTGAGATTTAAAACCAAACAAATGAATTAAGCAGACAGGGTTCATAGGTCAGAGACTAATAAAAAGGGCAAGGAAAGGAGGGAAGCTGGGTAGCAACAGATGTGGCTACTTCTTACAAAGAGGAATTCATCCTGAAATCACAAAACATAACCAACAGTCTCACCCCACCATAAATCATCTTTGTATCTCTGCAACTTTTTAAATGAACAAACTCAACAATAGTGGCAAATCACCAGTATTACTTAAAGATGAAGGCTTCATGCTTAAAGTGATCAAATATAGAGATAGCAAACTGGTTCTGCAATTCATTTTTTTTAAACATTCTGTTTTGTGATCAGAGTTTACGTGTGTGCCAGGGAACATGCCCATACTTGCTGCTGAGAACCTGACATGGACCTTTCTACAAGTCGAGTACTCTCACCATTCTCACATGATTGCTAAAGATATCATGGGAATAAAAAAAAAAACTAATATTCTTTAGTTGACAAAATCTAAGTTGCAAAACAGTTCTGCATTTTAAGGGAATCCGAGTTTGGGTAAAATGCTATTTATTTTACAACACTGACCAAAGCATTATTTATCTCATTATCATATTGTCAAACCTCCATTATATTTTGCATTATTGGAACCTCACAACTACATTAGCATTTATACACTCCTTTAATTATTTTGATGAAATTTGTAATGCAATAATTTTTATTTTTTGTAATAGACCGTTCTATAGTTGTCTGTATACAGTTAGAAGGTACATTATACTCACAAATAAAATACAGTGACTGAATGAAAAACAATAGAATAGTGCTGCTACAATCACCAGTGTTGATCACCCAAACAACACAAATAGGATGGAGTGAATAGGTGAGCGCAAGCACACAAAATACTACCACTTTAAATATAAGATGGTAAATGGCAGTGGTTAACTGTCTGCAATAAAACATAATATACAATTCAATATGTGAGCTTGACCAACCTATATGCAACACTAAAATATTTTCATATATTACACTATGAATTGTATTTTGTTTTATTGCAAACAGTTGACCACTGCCATTTACCATCTTATATTTAAAGTGGTAGTATTTTCTTTTCTTTGTGTGCTTGCTCTCACCTATTCACTCCATGGTTAGAAGGTACATGCCTACCTAAGTTCCAAACTATTTCTCATTCCATTACAATGATGCATTAATTTGGTTACCTTTTTGTGCTGCAAACCTGAATAAGTATCTCTTATTTATCATCTACATGTACAGCCATTCGTGAGCCATTTCAATTATGCCAAACCGAGGTCACCAACACCTGATTGGAACCATTAGAGAGATATGTATTGTGTATGTGTGTGTGTGTGTGTGTATATGTATGTATGTATGTATGTATGTATGTGTGTGTGTGTGTGTGTGTGTATGTGTGTATATATCAATATATATATATATATATATATATAATATCTCTATCTATCACTGTACGCTCACTGCTATACTGTCTTGAATAGCACAAAGGTAAATGGATTATTCTAAAAAAAACCTTCAAGAAAGCGACTTGTGCAAGGAGTGAGAGAATGACTGATTCCACAACGGCTGCTCTCAGAAGCTGCAGGAATTAAAGGCTCACTATAGGGTTAGGAACACAAACATGTATTCCTCACCCTATAGTGTTAAAAGCACCATCTAGCTCCCCTGGGCCCCTCATGCCTCCTAAAATATAGCAAAATCTTACTGTATTCAAGCCTGAAGCTGTAGATCTGCATGCGGTTTGCCTCAGAAAAAACAAGCAGTCTGCTGACATCATCAGAAGTGATAGCCTGATCCAATCACAGTGCTTCCCCATGGGATTGGCTGAGACTGACAAAGAGGCAGATTAGGGGCAGAGCCAGCACAATTCAAACACAGCCCTGGCCAATCAGCATCTCCTCATAGAGATGACTTGAATCAATTAATCTCTATGAGGAAAGTTCAGTGTCTACATGCAGAGGGAGGAGACATTGAATGTTTGGATGCATTTTGGAGGAGTGGCCAGTGAACTTATCCCTAGGCTGTAATGTAAACACTGCATTTTCTGTGAAAAGACTGTGTTTACAGCAAAAAGCCTGAAGGTAATGATTCTAATCACCAGAACAAATGCAATAAGCTGTAGTTGTTCTGGTGACTATAGTGCCCCTTTAATGTGGGTCTAAACATTGATCACTATGAAGAAATTGTAACTACTATAGAGCCCTTTTAAAAGTTATCCTACACAATAACAGATCTACTTAAAGCTTGTTTAATTATAAGGAACATAAAGGCACTAAAACAACTTTGGCTAGATAAAGTAACTTTGGTGTATAGACCACTCCCCTGCAGTCTCACTATTCAATTCTCTGTAACTTAGGTGTTAAATAACTTTGTTTATGCAGCTCTAGTCACACCTGGAGACAGCTAATGTTTAACCCCTTAAGACCGGAGGACGTACAATTACGCCATATTTTAGGCGGCTCTAAACGCCGCCGGGCATAATTGTACTCTCTCCGGTCTTTCTTTACTTACCCCGTCGCCGGTGGTCCCATGCTGGTGATCGCGGTGGGGGGGGCTCTGACCCCCTGGAAGCCCCCGCCATGTGAGAGTGAGGTCCTTATGAGGCAGGTAGGCTGCCTGCTGCATTGCCAGCAGGGGGGCTGCCTGTAATGACAGGTGGTCCCCCTGCTGGCTGAAAATAAAAATAAAATAAATTAAGTGTAAAAAAATATATACTTAGATCATATATATATATATATATATATATATATATATATATATATATATATATATATATATATATATATATATATATATATATATATATATATATATATACACACACTCTGTCTAGGTGTATTTTACTATTAATATATATATATTCAAATTACACGTAGACTGATACTGATTAAATATATATAATTGTTATATATTTATAATATAAAAAAATTAAATATGTAAATACGTTAAATAAAATTAAAAAAATAATTAAAAAAAATAAAAAAATATATAGGTGTGTTATTTCGTTCTAACTGTAGTGTGATATTAATATATATTTATATCAAAATACACGTAGAACGAAATAATATATATATCTACATACATAAATATATGTGTGTGTATATATACCTATATATAAATAAATATATTTATGTTTATGTAATATTTTTACATAATTACCGTATATACTCGAGTATAAGCTGAGATTTTCAGCACATTTTTTGTGCTGAAAAACCCCAACTCGGCTTATACTCGAGTCACTGTCTGTATTATGGTAATTTACATTAATTTACATTGCCATAATACAGACTGCGGGCTGGCAGAGCTGTTACTTACCTCTCCTGCAGCTCCTGTCAGCTCTCTCCTCCTCCGCGCCGGTCCGGTCAGCACCTCGGTCAGCTCCCAGTGTAAGTCTTACAGTTTGAGCTGACAGAAGAGCTGCACGGACCGGCGCGGAGGAGAAGAGAGCTGACAGGAGCTGCAGGAAAGATAAGTAACAGCTCTGCCAGCCCCCCTCCTCCCCCCACTGAATTGCCAATGGACCAACAGGGAATAAGAGCCCCCCTCCCTGCCATGTATCAAGCAGGGAGGGGGGACAACAAAATAAATAAATTTAATAATTTATAAATATAAAAAATTTAAAAAATATATATAACAAAAAAATTAAAATAATATTAATAATATATAAATAATAATATAACAAAAAAAATTAAAATATTTTTATTTTATTTTTTTATAAAAATGCCCACCCCCCACCAAGGCTCTGCAACACACACACACACTGCATTCCACACACACACACACACTGCATTCCACACACACACACACACTGCATTCCACACACACACACACACTGCATTCCACACACACTGCATTCCACACACACTGCATTCCACACACACTGCATTCCACACACACTGCATTCCACACACACTGCATTCCACACACACTGCATTCTACACACACTGCATTCTACACACACTGCATTCTACACACACACCACACATTTCACACACACACACACTGCATTCCACACACACACACACTGCATTCCACACACACACACACTGCATTCCACACACACACACACACTGCATTCCACACACACACACACACACTGCATTCCACACACACACACACACACTGCATTCCACACACACACACACACACACTGCACTCATACACACACACACTGCATAATCCATCTTCACCCATGGAGGGCTCTGCAGACTGAGCTCCGCAGGGCGGGGGAAGGCTTATAAAGCCTTCCCCCGCCCTGCAATTAGGCTAAAAACACTCTGATTGGTGGGTTTAAGCCAATCAGAGTGCTCTTTGTCATTTTACACAGCGTGGGAAAATTCAAAAGAATTTTCCCACTGTGTAAAATGACACAGAGCACTGTGATTGGATGGCTTGAAATTCATCCAATCACAGTGCTCTGTGTCATTTTACACAGCGTGGGAAAGTTCTTTGAATTTTCCCACGCTGTGTAAAATGACAAAGAGCACCTGATTGGCTTAAACCCACCAATCAGAGTGTTCGTGAACCCAATTGTGGTATGGCAAGGCTTTATAAGCCAGAGGGGACAGTAGGTTTTTCAGTGAGCAGCCACAGGCAATGTGTATATTGGGAGGAAATGTGTCACATATCAATATCCATATAACCTATATCCATGTAGGTACTTCAATCAATCAATATATATATATATATATATATATATATTCCTTTAACCCCTTCCTTCCTTTAACCCCTTAAGGACCAAACGTCTGGAATAAAAGGGAATCATGACATGTCACGTGTCCTTAAGGGGTTCATTGAGATTTCTAGAAAAATGCCATCTGCAAAGGAACCAAAAGATATTTTCTGTTTAGGCGCTGTAATTTCCTGGACACACATGCACATAGGAAAAATAAAGGAAACTGAATGAGAAAAAAAAAAAAAAAATTATATTTATTCCAGACGTTTGGTCCTTAAGGGGTTAAAGGAAGGTTAAAGTTAAAATGCCAACACGAATAGCACATGTTCAGGTAGTTTTCAAATATACAGTGGGAAACCGGAGAACAGCACTCTATGCTGCAGGCTGATCTCCTATAATTTATTGATATTTGCCAAAACACAATACATGTCTTCCGTTATGTTTACTTGTTCCTTCAGCGCTGGAAGCTGATATCCTGTAATTCCTTTTATTTTCCCTACGTAGATACAATTGTTTGCAGATTGAAACAGGCCTGGTTACCATACATAAGGTGAAAGTATTTAACCAGAAAATGCACATGTAGCTTTCACAGTTTACGAGTACATTTTGGGACTTAAAATAGGCCGCTCCATGATGTAATTGCTTTTTCCCCTCTAAAGAGCCACTACGGGCACCCAGAACATTTCATCTGAATGATGTGCTTAGGGTGGCATGCCTTCAAGAATGGCATTGTTTTCACTTGCCTGTAGTGTAGTGGTTGTCACTTTCAGAGCCTCTAGAGGCGCTTTCTCTGAAATAGCCCAGTTTTCTGTATTACCCAGCAAGTCATTCCCACCTCAATGTCAGGTTGGGAGCTCTGGGATAAATTTGTGTATTTTTTTCCCCTCTTGTTATTTTGAATGTTTCATGGTCAGAGCTAAGTAACTGATGGCTCTGTTTCTGTTTTCTTTCTCCCTTAAACTACTGATCCATACATTAGTCACCACACCTTCATAGATGTTTAAAGGGACACTATGTTCACCAGAACAACTACAGCTTAATGTAGTTGTTCTGGTGAGTATAATAGCTCCCTTCAGGCATTTTCATGTAACTAAAAAAGTGTAACCCAGGCAGAGGCACAGTTTCTGTCAATGAAGCACATGCTAGACTTGATGGGCTTATTGCTGCAGCAATTTTAAGGAACTGTGCACAAGGAGACCGTGACAAATGATCTTCTTTGTAGCATAGATTGTTCTAGTGAGTTAAGTGTCCTTTTAAATATTTGTGTGTTGTTTCCTTCATACACCACCACATGTTATGCTTCCTCCTCCATTTTTACAAAAACAAAGTGTCGTCAGAGCTGCAGGTGTGAAACACTGAAGTGTAACTTAGTTATTTGTATATAACCAAGTCACTGACCATGCAAATTGTTATTTGTATTCTGAGTGAGTCTTTTTAGTCTTTTACAAACAGCAAGAAAGATTATATATTATATTTATTTCAGTAAAGGAGGAGACGATAATTAAAAGAAAAACTACCACAACAAGAGGACATAGTCTTAAATTAGAGGGGCAAAGGTTTAAAAATATCAGGAAGTATTACCTTACTTATATTTAAAGTGGTAGTACTAAGAGGGTAGTGGATGCCCCCTTGCCGATTTTAGCCAATCCAATGCTTTCCCCATGGGAAAGCATTCGATTGGCTAACAATTTGCAAATTTGTGCCAGGGTTGGAACTAGCCCCAGCTCAAAGGTTCAAATATCTCTGAAAGTGGAGTAACCCTTTAACCACAGATTGGTAACTGCTAGATGGAACTGCAATGTTTGCCATCTTTTTCCAGAGAAACAATAACTTCTCATTCCTTTTACCCTGTAAATGCTATTACAACATTGACTGGGGTGAATAGTGCAGAGGCAATAACTTACCCCTGCTTCGGATGCTCCACCGCCACTTGATTCTTTGGGATCACGCACACACGTTCTGGCACCTAATAGACGTTCTGCATGATCACTGGGCATTCCTTCTCACAGAGCTATAGACAATTTTATAGGACTTCGAGAGTTAACCTATTTACATTTTAGGCCATATAATGGCCGAATTGGGAAAAGTCCCCAAGTTAGTTGTGTTTTCACTGTATTTAGTTTGGTCTTAAATTTTAAATTCACTTTAAATTTTCTTTGAATTCTCAACTTTAGTAAATGATCCTGCATATGTTTTGGTGCTGTATACAATAAGAGCGAGACATCATGTTGTCTGGGGTGAATTTACGTCTAACCGCTCTGTATGATGCAGCATCTTTAAAATGACAACTTGTAGTGGTAGTTTAGAATTCCAGTTCTCACGTTAAAGCAAATTGTAGTGTTCAATAGGAATGTGTAATTTGTTTCGGAACTAATTGAATTTTGTCCAAAGTCAGGAATCTGGAAACGTCAGAAAGTAAAATAAAAGGATCCATGACGAACTGAAACAATTAAGTTTGGATCCATGCATTTTGAGAAGGATAACAAGTTAGGTAGTGATCTACTGAACAACTGAGAGCAAAATTAAGAAATGGTCTTTTTAAAAATTTTCTGTTTAGCCGATGACTCACTAGTTTACTAATGCTATGTGGGTTTTCTGTATTTAGAATACCAAATGACAGTGCTGTTTAGCATATAGCTCCCATATTTGGTAATTGGAATCCTTATAGAATTATCATGCAAGGATCGCACATTAGGGAGTTATCTACTAAACAGATGAAATATCAGAATTAAGAAAAGGGAAGCAATTTACTAGATACCTCCTTAAATTTGTAGTTTGTGACTGCCACTTTCTTTCATACTACATAAGGAAATAATTGGTGTCCGAATTTAGAAAGTGATCAAAATGTTTGTCCAACTTTATATTTTCTGAATTTTGGACCAACCGAAATGCGAACATTCACAAAATAATTTTTTATTTTTTTATTTTTTTTTTTTCCTGTGCACATCTTTAGTTTACAATTTTAATCTAACCCATTTCACATTTCAGAATATGGGATTCCAAGTCATGTAATGTCTATTATTTGTAGTAGAAAAATTCTGCTGTACGAAGCATCCTTCAAGGGGCATATTCAGGAGACCCGGCCACATTCCATCACTTGTTCTACCTTCATAAATAACTTTTAGATGGGAAGCCCTATTTAAAGCAGGAAAGTGTTGCATTACCCGTACTACAGTCTTACTGTGTAGTTGCAGGAATAGTGGGAAGGCTATTTCAGAGCTGTGGGTAGAATCCTATGAAACATTTTCTTTGTGCAGTCTAGTACGTAGCAGTTTCCATAATATACCTCTCTACAATGCGTCCATACATGGCGTTTGCCGTTGAGCAGTATTCAAGCACTCACACTTTGATTCTTGTTGTAAAGAACTATTTATGCGTATGTATGTGTGTATTGTTTTCAGAGCTGAAACAGTAAAAATGTGTATGACCCGAGTCTGTTTGTTGTGCACAGTTGATTGCTCTCTGAATGTGATGGGTGTCGGGACTGTGTAGTTTCCTGGTGACTAGTTACATCTGGAAGCAGTTACTGGAGTAGACCATCATCAGATCTGACCTTCCCATGACTGGATGCTGAAAATAATCTTTGAATCTGACCTCTGGAGAGATGTTTCTTAGTATCTGCTTCTTTTTTTTTTTGTGTGTTTTTTTTATTTTTAATTTTTATAGTATGATATCTGTATGTTCTCCTTTTTAGAATTCTATTCTACACATTTAGTCAGAATTGCTACATTTCCCTTCAAAGTTTAAAATAAACAAAAAAAACTAAAAACATTTTTTACAGTCATGTTTCAGTTCCTCTTTTTTGTGTTAGTCACATTTTTGGTGGTAGTGTTGTGATTCTTATAGGGCCACAAGGCAGATAAAACTTGCACTGCAATGTTTTTTTTATGGTTTTGCTGGTAGACATGTCCTCATTTAGTCTGTCTACCCTGTGTACAAGCGTTTCTGAGCCACACCTGAGTCATGTGTGTGTTAATTTTGAAATCAAAGTTAGAATGATAACTGTAAAGGATGTGCTTCCACGTAGAATTCTCAGAATAATGCATAGTGGCATAGAAAATAGCTTTGTTGAAGGATCTAAGAAGCTGTAAAGGTCTTGTGTAAAGTAGATGGAACACACACAGCAGCACACATTTTTGCTTTTTATATTCTTGGGGGTTATGTGTATAGCGTATGGGTGTTCTGATTTCACAAAATACAGGTCATGAGATTATTTTAGTGTTTACTGTTTATTGGAACAAGACCCCACTGTAGTGTACGTAGTGTTTTACCGCAGAGACACATCTTTCCCCAGTATATTAGTCCCTTTGCTACAAAGACGTTTCTAATGACACTTTTTCTATATTTATTTTATTTAGAAAGTATTTTACCAGGATGGATACATTGAGATTTTTCTCATTGTCAGGTATGTCTTGGGTCCACAAAACATTGCATTGTTACAATAGGATACAGTATTCTAAAAATACAATATACAAATCAGAGTGACTGGCAGGAGGTGGGCGCACACTGCTCCCTCCTGCCAGGTACTGTGTAGCGTGACCGAGCGGTGCACCGCAGTACAGGAACTTGTGTCCTGTACCTGGCCGGACTGAAAGGAAGCGCTCACTGAGAGAGTATTTCCTGTCAGTCCGGCCAGGTACAGGAGACTGAATCTCCTGTACCGCAGTGAGCACTACTCCGCTCGGCCACGCTACCAGGAAACACACCGGGGAGCGGGGACCAAGGAGGGGAGGGAGAGAGAGAGAGGCACTAAGGGACACTCTATGAGATGGGGGGGCTGTAAGGATCACTATGGGACGGGGGCAGTGGTAAGGCTCACTATGGGACAGGGCGGTGGTGGTAATGATCACTATGGGACGGGGCAGTGGTGGTAAGGATAACTATGGGACGGGGGCGGTGGTGGTAAGGATAACTATGGGACGGGGGCGGTGGTGGTAAGGATAACTATGGGACGGGGGCGGTGGTGGTAAGGATAACTATGGGACGGGGGCGGTGGTGGTAAGGATAACTATGGGACGGGGGCGGTGGTGGTAAGGATAACTATGGGACGGGGGCGGTGGTGGTAAGGATCACTATTCAACAACATTACTGGGATTTGATTTGATCTGATCCACACTGGTTTTTCCTTTTTAAATTATTAAGGTGTTTTATTAACGACACTAACAGACACAGGTCTAAAATTTTAATCTCTCTATATGAGGATTTTGAAGATTTGGCAGGGCCTGATCTTTATTTGTCATTTGTTATCTTGGCAACCAAGGGTGGTAGCACATCCAACAAAATAACTATTCCATTTGCTACATCTAGAGGGTGTTGCAGTGTTTGTCCATTTTGACAGTGGAGGGCTGGAAGTGGATTGTGGGCATTTGTATGCTATTTATGATTTTCCAGATGTTTCTTGAGTTTTATTGGTGGTGGTTTTAAATTTTCACTGAATTATTGGGCCTTTGCCATTTTTGTTTGTTTTTTTGTGCATGCATTTCACCATTGTCTGTAAGTACAGTGATCGTTCATGGAGCTAGTACGCTTGAATTTTGACCACAGTGAATCTCTAAACTGGTACATTTGAATGAGGTCAGCTGTAACCCAGGGCAGATGTTTCCCTTTTAGTCGCACTTTACGCAGAGAGGCATGCAAATTCCAAACACGCAAGAGCTCGGACTGAAAAGATGCAATTGTAGAGTCTAGATCTGGTATTAGACCTAATCTGTGACATGGTATGTTATTGAGTTCATTTATAAAGGATTCAAGATAAAATTTTGTGAAAGACCTGGTGATTATAATCTTGGGAGGGGATATAGTGACCTTTATTTTGCGTATGCAGTACACTAGACAGTGGTCACTGAAACTGTTAGGGAAAACGCCGCCTGGGTTTTGTCAGGACGACTGGAGAGAATCCAATCAAGCAAGGTATGGTTCTGGCTTTTAATATTAATGCGAGTTGGGGAGGAAATTAATTGTTAGCTGCAAAGTCTTAAACAGCATACATGATTTATTATTTTTAAGATTCAGCCAATCAATCTTAAAATTTCCAAAAACCAACAGTTCACTTTTTTGGTATTGAGCTACAGTTTCACTTAGTAGTTGGGCTATGTCAGAAAGGGAGTGCACCGGAGAGCTAGGTGGGTGGTAGATTCCAGTAACAATGCTAGTTTTACTGAAAGGGATCAGAAGGGGAGTTATAGTTTTTTAAAGGAGTAAATTTTATGGACTTCTCAACATATAAAACAATGCCTCCTCCTCTCTTTGCTCTGTCATTTCTAAAACATGAAAAACCCTGCAATGACGGAGTCTGGTATTTTAGTTATTAACCATGATTCTGAGAGCACAATGATTTTTGGTTTGTAATGGGAACACCAGGCTTGCAGTGCATCCAGTTTAGGGAGCAAGCTACGGATGTTGCAGTGCACAATAGAGGCCTTATTTTTTAGTGGGGAGATTAGGATTAGAATTAGCTGGGGCACTATTGTTAGACTTCACATCATTTGCAAGGACAAAGTAAGTAACATAAGAAATAGGAATTTGGACATAATTTTTGTTTGGCCATATAGTGAATGGGATACTTTATCATTTTGAGTTGGGGGATAGGAGGGCTATTTTTTATAACTCTCCTCTGGCACTCAGCAGATAAGTTACAGCAACAGAGCATGCCATGGTGTATGATAATTTGTTTTCCAGTTTGAGGTGTGTGCTTATGGTGGTAGCGATGTGAACAAAACTGGAGTTAGAAAAGGGTTATTAAGAATAACTGCATGGTCATATTTGGATTCATGTTACTGGTATGAGGTGTGTAGATGAAAACAAAATAAGAAATTTAAAAAATAAATAAAAGTATATAATATTGGTGTGTGATATATAGCTATTTGTAGGGAGAGAGGGATTGTATTCTGTAGGGTTAAGAGATTGGGAAAGATGTGCTGATCAGTGTTTGCACCTGTCATTTCAGGAGAATGAAGGTTGTGTGGGAAACTAGCTATAAATGAGGAAATGAGCTATGGTCAGATGGGCTAAGGGATATGGGGGCTGGGGGGAGAATCTATAGCCATTTGATTTAAGGGTCGTTTAAGCAAAAACAAAGGGAAAGATTGAAAATTACAGAGCTAAGTATTCAAGTAGGGAAATAAAACCATTAAACAATAACAAGAAATATATATGGGCCTGAGCTGGTTAAACTAACTTTTAACATAATAGACAAGACAAAGGTGATAAAATAAGCAATGTGCCAGGGATATGCAAAGTATGATTAGCACAGGCTGTAGTTACAAAGACATTGAAATATATACATTGAAAATAATAAAATGGAAAGGGCAGTGGAACAGCTGATGGAGGTCTGGGTTGTTTGCTGGGCTGGGTAAGTTTTAAAATCAGGCTCTCAATCTTGGAAATTACGAAACTGAATATTTCAGTATTTTAATATTAAATCAAAGGAACACATTGGGCAGCAAACCAAATTTTGTTTTCTTTCATAGGTTTTGGCCTATTCATGTTGTGTGGTATTTTAGAAAAATTTTTATTTAGTTATTCAAATCACTATTTTTCTTAAAAAAAAAAAAAAAGTTTGCAGTTCAGTTCAATGCCACTCCTTAGTACTTGGTGGCACACATCTCAGGAGGGATTTTGTCCCACTCCTCTTTGCAGATGCTCTCCTAATCATTAAGGTTTCGAGGCTGTTGTTTGGCAACTTGAATCTTCAGCTCCCTCCACAGATTTTCTATGGGATTATGGTCTTGAGACTGTCTAGGCCATTCCAGGACCTTAATGTGTTTCTTCTTGAGCCATTCCTTTGTTGCCTTTGCTGTGTGTTTTGTGTCATTGTCTTGCTGTAATACTCATCCACAACACATTTTCAATGCCCTGACCGAGGGAAGGAGGTTCTCACCTAAGATTTGACAGTACATGGCCCTGTCCATCATCCCTTTAATGCAGTGCATTAAAGGGAAAAACACCCCAATGCATAATGTTTCCAACTCCATGTTTAACAGTGGGGATGGTGTTCTTGGTGTCATAGGCAGCATTCCTCCTCCTCCAAACACGGCGAGTTGAGTTGATACCAAAGAGCTCCATCCCCACTGTTAAACATTTCACCCAGTTCTCCTCTGAATCATTCAGATGTTCATTGGCAAACTTCAGACGGGCCTGTACATGTGCTTTCTTGAGCAGGGGGACTTTGCGGGTGCTGCAGGATTTCAGTCCTTCTCGGCATAGTGTTACCAATTGTTTTCTTGGTGACCATGGTCCCAGCTTCGAGCCTTTTTGCTCAGTCCAGAGATTATATTTCCAATTATTCTGCACTTTATTAAGTTATAGAGAGCACTATAATGTTTTTGTTTTTTGTTTAACCTACATATTCCCTTGTGGGATTCTGGCCATTAATACATCCTAGAGTGGGGATCATATCACTTTAAGGACAACTATTGGGAGCCATCAGTGGACTCCACCAAATGGGAGTGTAGTTACGTATATCTACTTTATCCATTATGTTAAACATACTACACTATATTGGTGTCTACTTTTTTTTTTATTTTTATTTTATTTTAATATATACGCCTTCTGGATTATGCGCTTTTGGACAAAGAAATACACTACACATCCTTAGGGATTATACTGCCTGGGTGCATAAAAGTAGAGCTGACTGATGGCTCTACACACTGTAAGTGTACCTCTATTAATATCTCCAATCAATTTATACATACTAAACTATATACCCTATTTCTGTTACTTGTATGCTGTACATACTGACTCCAGGCACCTTTTACTTTTTCAAATCACTGACGTGGTCATGGTGCTTAGGAATGGCATATACATTAAATTATCCCATGCAGTGTTGTACATGCGTACACTAGCACTAATGGTGGTGCCAGAGTATGTGTATGCATACATGAAAAATGTATGTAGGTGTTTAAAGGAACACTCTACTGCCCAAAACAAAATAAATAAAAATCACTGTTTAGTAGATAAACCCCAAATGCATTTACTTATGCATTTTTTTTCATTGGTGTTAAATCTAAAAAAAAATGCTTCCAAAACCTGCATTTCTCTTGTCTGTTGCCTTTGTAAGCTCTTCCGTTCTCCCCAGCCCAGACTTTCTGTGGCTGTCCCCTCACAGACTTCCCAATGCAGCACAATGAGAAGTATTTTCAAGGCAGGTGCTCTGGGCAATAACTGCCTCTTAATTTTAGCTCTACTGGGATACCCAAACCAGGAAGTAATAGGGTCTGTTGTGTGCTTGAAAGTCAAGGGGGTGTAACCATTTTAATGTATTAAAATGTAAATTTCTATTGAAATATGCACTTTTTGCAAAAAAAAAAACAAACCAAAAAAAAAAAAAACTGTACGCTTCTTCATACATAGTTTTTCAGCAAGCTAAAGCACTTTAGGGGTCTGAAGTGTCCCTTTAAATGCACCCAAGGTTTCACAGGGAATAAAAATCGCCATCAATACGCAAGTACAGTGTATGTAATTTTTATTTGTACACTGCTTTATTAACTTTAATAGATAATAATAATAATAATAACTTATTTAACCAGGAAAGGTACATTCAAATTACTCTGGTTTTCATGTACGTCCTGTGGATGGTGCCTTAGCCCAACATCCAGAGGTTGTTACTATGTGTTTACTATTGTTGAATAACAAATATGTCACTTTCATACACATAAGTGATCGTTCGGCTGTAAAGTAGACTTGTAAGCTTGGCAGGAGGTTAATTTGCATACAAACTTATACGAAGCATGAACGCACCAACCAAAAGGCCAAATTAAAAAAAAAAAAAAAATTTATACACAGAATATTAAGATCTCATTACGTTCTAAATGCTGAAAAACAGAAGTTTTAGAAGTGTATTCCAAAATGTTTTCTGGCCCATTAGAAAACCCTCTACAACTATACAGTATGCATTTACATTTTTAAGATAGTAACTAACATTTGCTTTGGCACAGAGAGCAGATAGTTAAAATACACATTCCTCATTTTAGCCTGGTGGAATGCAGAAATCCTGGACAATCCCAGGTTTGGATTTGCTGCTTGCATCATATGCTTCCTCTGCATGTGACCACCTCCAGGGTGAAAACTTCATTCTTAAAGGGGTCATTGCAGCTTAAAGGGACACCGTAGGCCCTGTATCTGCTTCATCTCATTAAACTGGTTATAGTGTCTGGAGTCCTCTGGTACCATCAATTCAATCTTTATTTATCCGTTATTTATGTTTTAATGCTAAACAAGAGTCCCAGGCAGTCCATCCCCTCTGTGCTGCTTTGGCTAATAAGGAAGTATTAGCCTGAGCAGCAATGGGCAGCTGTGATTGGCTGAGAGTGTCAGCTGACTGCTTTTAGCCTGTCAGAGTTTCAACTGACGGTATGAAGGGGTATGACAACAAGGAAGTGTGTAATCTCTACCTTAGCTACACATACAGAAGGGGCTGGACTGAGGGTGGCCAGGGACTCTTATTTTGTGGCATACTGCACGAATATGGTGCAACACTGAATGGAGGGACAGTGCCAGGACACTCCAGGCACTATAACCAATTCAAAGAGATGAAATGGTTATAGTGACTACAGTGTCCCTTTAACCTACCATAACTTGGTTAGATGACTTGATGGCAATATTGCTTTGATTTATTCAGAGAAACTATTCATGCTTATCCCAATGTATTGTGAAAGCATATATCTCTATCTCTCATGAATTCTATAAACCGGAATAGAACATTCAGAGAAAATAAATAGGCAAAGAGATAATGAGTAATGAGTTCTAAATTGAGAATAACACCAAGCAATGGCTCTGCACGGAAGCTCACACTACGCATTGCACAACTACATATAGACCTCGAGCGCTACCACCGTGAGGAATACACTTTACTGGAGCAAAGCTGAAATACTGGACGCTTACATGCACAATAGGCTCAGTTTGCAGTAGCAACCCAAACGAAGAGCCTAAGGCTGTTACATCTCTTGGCAGACATTGCAGAACTTCTTGTCTAATTAATGAGGGGTTATTTTCTGCTGAATTCAGTACTCTGGTTAGGCACTCCTTGGCACTCCAACTTCTGTACTGTAAGTCTTATTATGTTCGGCTGGCAAAGATAATCAAAGTGGTTTTCTTTCCTTGGTTGCTTTGGAAATATCATTTTTATTTATTTCCACGCGTATACTTGCAAATGTAGTTATGTGTTGTTTTTTCTTAATTATCTGTGTATAGCTGTTTGTGTGGCTCACAGAACTGATTAATGTATTTACACGCTCCATCCATTCATGTTCCGCTGGTTGTATACATTACAACACTCTGCTTGTACAGATACAGCTGCTGTGTCAAGTGACAGCTGTCTCTGAAGTCATGTTGCTTGTCCATTTGTTTCCATGCTGAAACTGAATGTGTCCAAGCTGACTTTGTCTATATATTTATTTTTAAGCACTGGATGAAACATGTTTTCAAGTCCAATGGAACTGACAAGGTAGTTCACTGAACACTGGATTTTGTTATGACAGACAAAATACGGTCAAAATGGACAAACTATAATGGCAATTCTCATATTTGCTAATGTCAAATCTGGTCGGTTCAAATGGACCAGATGCATTTAGTGTCCAGATTAAAATCTGTGCTTTCTCACCCGAACCCAATACAAAGTATTGAATTCAAAATATACATAAAACCCTGCAATAGAAAATGTTATAGATATTCAGTACCAAATGCATCCACAAAGATGCACGTTTGCAATTTATCGTTCAGTTGCTTATGCAAGTGAATGATCATGTTATATACTATTATCTGCTGGCAGTTTATTTAGTAACTCCCACCGGCTGGCCACAGGTGGGGGAAGAGGTTGGCAAAGCAGTGTCATACTTTCATTCCAACCTAATCACTCCCCTGTTTGTTGTTCTGTTTTTGTTTGTTTTACATGTCCCTTCCCCGTGTAATTTTTTTTAAAAATCTTGTTACCTCCCCTTATTCCAAGCTAAATGCTAGAACAGTGGTTCCTAAACATTTTATATGCAAGGCCCCCTAATATTTCAATATGTTTCCAAAGCACCCCAAGTCAAAACAATATTCTAGGTTGTATATATGTACAGCGCTGCGGCATATATTGGGCCCCTAACAAGGGGCAGTTTGTGCATGAGTGGTACAGTGTGTGTGAGTATGGGTTGCAGTGTGTGTGTGTATGGGACCTATTTTGTGGTGTGGGGTCTGTGGGGGTAGGAGGGCAAATTAATAAATATATGCTTACCTTTGTCTGGGAGGGGGGACATTTCCTGCCATTCCTGGTGGGAAAACCCTGGTGGTAACAGTGAACTCTAGCAAGATCTGGAGCATTGCCGTGGTAACCGCGGCAACGCTCCGTGTTCCCGAGAGGAGATCCCGGCGGAACTGCAGGTTAGAGCTCCCCCGGGTCTCTTCTCTTCCTTCTCCCTCTCCTCCCCCCCTGTTGTGAATTACATTTCCCATGGTGCTCAATGCGCGTCTTACTGGCACAAAAAATGCAGTGCCATAGGTTTGCCTTTACAGATTCTAACACCTTATTTGATGTTTGTTTTTTCTGCAGGTAATGGTGTCCCAGCGGAGCGTTCAGGAAATGTCCATGTATCTGGACTGCCAGTCGGTAAGACCTTTTTAATGTTTAGATCTCATGCATGAAATAAATGTAAAATATTATCATGCACAAAAAAAGGCAAAATCTGCAAAAGAGATATTTGGTTGGAAGGCGTATTGCTGCTTGTCATAATAATTTTATTAGACTAATACAGAAATTTTCCTGGAAAGATTGGAATTGATATCTACCTAGTTCTGAGACGATTTTTACATTGACTAAATTGCCCAATTTCCTTCCTATGCAAACCCTGTTTTGGCTGCCTGTCGGGAATGTGTTTACATTCAGCATTTCCGAGACATGCAACATAGTTCTAAATTAAGCAGATAGTTCCTTCCATGTAGCAAACTCGAGTCCAACATTTGTTGTTGTTTGTTTTTTGTTTTTTTGCCCCTTGGCATCGTATCCTAAGACCAAGATTTGTACAAACCTAGATAAAGTGACAAATACCTACTCTGAACCCACACACACACAGATTTATAAATACAACCAGGTATCTATACCTATGTACAGGCTATATATACACCGACATTGACAACCACATGGAAATAGATACCGACTTATATATACAACACGGCTACAGGCATTTGATGGCAGGTGGACATTAATTCAACCTCTGCTGCTGGCCAGACATAAATGCCCCTGACTTCTCAGGGGAAACGTATGGCACGGTCTTATTCTGATCTAGAATGAAAACTTTGGAACGCTTTGTTAAAGGGACACTATAGTCACCAGAACAACTACAGCTTATTAAATTTTGTTCTGGTGAGTAGAATCATTACCTTCAGGCTTTTTGCTGTAAACACTCTCTTTTCAGAGAAAACAGCCTAGTGATAACTCCATTGGCCACTCTTAAGATGTCTGTTAGAGTTCCTTCCTGTGTCATTGCTGCCTAAAATGCATCCAAACATTCAGTATCTCCTCCCTCTGCATGTAGTCACTGAACTTTCCTCATAGAGATTCATTGATTCAATTAATCTCTATGAGGAGATGCTGATTGGCCAGGGCTGTGTTTGAATCATGCTGGCTCTGCCCCTGATCTGCCTTCTTGTCAGTCTCAGCCAATCCTATGGGGAAGCATTATGATTGGATCAGGCTAACACTTCTGCTGATGTCAGCAGGCTGCGGGCAGGTCTAAAGGAAACGGGGACAAAGTAAGTAGCTGCAGACTTGAATACAAATAAGATTTTACTATAATTAGGGAGGCATGAGGGGAGGGAGCTAGACGTTGGTTTTAACCCTATAGGGTCAGGAATACAATGTGTTTCTGACCCTATAGTGCTCCTTTAAGATCACTGATCATACCTGTTTTGCCCTAGGACAGGGGTAGGTGACATTCTAGTAGTACTGTGCCAAAACAAGATCTTGTAGTTCCTTGGCGTGCTGGTCCTTTATTTTTTTTTTATTTTTTTTATGAGGTGTCTGTTACCGTATTCTGCTTGTGTTTTTGTAGGTGCTGCAGTTGCTTTGTAACATAGTATTTGTGCTGATGTGAGCTGTTGTACTGTGTATGTCCATGAGTAGTTTGTAGTATTGTATATGATACTTTTATGAATGTAGACTCTGTATGGGGGCTGCTTGTGGAATCGTGTGTGCACATGCGTGCGTTTGGTGGTTTGTGTAGCTGAGAGGCTGCTTGTGGGGTTATGTTCGTGCATGTGGGTTGTCAGTAGTATTGTGTTTGTGCGGAATCTGTGTGGGCTGTTTGTGTTATTGGTATGATGGTGAGGATTATTCTGTAGCTCCTAGTATATCTTGCAGTGTGGGTGGCATCTCTGGGGTCCAGTGTGAACCAGGCTGGCCAGGTACAGGTCAAGGGTAGGAGCTGCGATAACTACTGTGGGCTGCTGTACTACAGTGCAAATTCCAGTTCACAAGTACTCGGAGGAAGTGCAAGTGCTGCAATGGGTAGATTAAATGACCACTATAGGCACCCAGACCAATTCAGCTCAATGAAGTGGTCTGGGTGCCAGGACCCCCCTAGTTTTAACCCTGCAGCTGTAAACATAGCAGTTTCAGAGAAACTGCTATGTTTACATTGAGGGTTAATTCAGGCTCTGGTGGCTGTCTCCCTGACAGCTATTAGAGGCTGCCTCCGCTATTCTCGGTGTGAAAATAACACTGAGATGATGCTGGACGTCCATAGGAAAGCACTGAGTAATGCTTTCCTATGGGCGGTTTGAATGCGCATTCGGAGCTGACGTCAGCAGGAGGATTTGGCGCTGGGTTCAGGTAAGTGGCTGAAGGAGTTTTAACACCTTCAGCCCAGCGGAAGGGGGCCCTGAGGAAGGGGAGTGGGGGGGACCTAATAACCCTATAGTTCCAGGAAAACAAGTTTGTTTTCCTGCCACCATAATGCTCCTTTAACCCCTTA